AGGGACTGATCATGGCCATTCCTACCTGCAAGGTATTTTTCCTGTTAATTTACCTTTTTTTGCTAATTTCTATTAAGGTATATGTTTGCAGAATGTGGAGTTGCAAACTATGGATTTACTGATCTTCCTCCACGATATGACCAAGTCTATAAGGACGACGAACCGCCACCACTCTATGAGTCTCTAAGAAATTTTGGCAACGTTATGCCCAATAACGCTGAAAGTAGAAGGAATACCAGCAGTGAGCAGTCTCAGGGAGTAGAACACCAAGTTCGAATACATGAACGAGCACCATCATACAACGTCTATGGTGAAAATCCTAATGATGTAGGGTTAGTAATTACCACTAAAAGAAACTTTATCTTTTCCCTCACAGAGCTTAACGCGAACTCTTTAGATCCTCAGTCCCTACCATTAGTGACGGAGCCACAAATAGAGCCATTCCCATTTCCACTACATTACACCAAATTCAAAATCATATGGAAGACGTACGAGAACGGTTTTCAGGTAGGAATTTAATTAAAATCATCGAAATGTCAACTGGATTTTAAGCTAGAATGAAACTACCGTATGAAAGATTTCTTCCATTGCACATCACTTATATTCTTTCCTTACCTAAAAACTTAGTGTAGTGAATTGAAGTAATATGTTCTCAGCCAAGATATGAACAACTTGCTCCGTTTCAGGAAGCGCTGAGACGTTCATATCTAGTCTTTCTATCACATCACCGCCAGTTACTGAACATCGAAGCAGTTAACTCGCTGTCGACACTCAGTAGTTATTTCTCTGTATATATGCTCCTGTTCACTATCACATGTACAAATCAGGCTTTACATATATAATGCGATGGACTTCATTTACCCGATCTGATGTGAATATTTCCATATGTTTCATTCTTTATACGTTGAAAGATATTAATCTTTTATTAGTTGTAAAATGGAGATTTATGGGCCCTTATAAATACAAGAGTGTCCAACAAAATGTGCTTGCTGTTTAATCGTTGCTTTTTGATTTGAAATCTTTTGTAGGTTTCAAATATTCGTATTGCAAGACTAGCTTAAACTTTACTCCTCTCATAAACTAGTCTTGTACACCTTTCCATAATACTGGGGTGAGAATTATTATGTAAAGTCATAGGTGACTTAGCTGCCATTATGCTACTTCAATTATCTTACGGTATTGTACAATCAACATATTTGACCG